TTGATGCTCCTGAAGCACTCCCATCTTCCACGCATTTGAATGGGAATTCCCTATTGGGACCGTTTTTTGTTAAGTAAAATCTCAGCTTTCACTGAATTTATGACTTTTATTCGACATGAGAATTCTCTGATATAAAATAAACAGCCTTCTGTAACCCAAGCTCTCTCCACACTCCAAGCGTTTATACTTATTCTCCTCTTTATCAACATTTTTAATCAGGATGTTTAATGATCTTCCTGATATTCTGTATGCACTCCAAGTTTTTTATGGTTTCTAATGTTTGTGAATCACTTTCTGTATAAGAAAATGTTCTGGGTACAGCTGAAACTTTTCCCACCCACTGATATTTCCCTTTATATTTACATGCTTATATTCGTCTGTATATGGATTATTTTAAATAAAGGTGAATGCCACACTCCACAAATGAATATGGGTGTGGATCTTTTTATGGGAAGTAAAATGTAAGATGCAGGAACCTATAGAGATGGCCTTGGAGAAGGCATCCAGAAGCTGTTAGGACAACAGGCACAGAAAAAGCATGCTTTGAAGCTGGGTGGGGGGGGTGGAAAAGTGTGAGAAAGAGACTAGCTCCCCCCTGACTCTCTGGAGTATAAGAAGGAGGGAAGGAAAACAGAGGCAGATCTGCAAGGTTCTTTTAAGCACAGCTCTAGTCTATGGTTTCCTGAGCTGGTTTCCTGAGCTGATCTATCTTGTAGGGCTGACATGTAAGCACCGTTGTAAGAAACACTTCTTCTGAACTCCTTGCATTTATGTTTTGTCTCTTATGTGGATTCTTTTATGGGAAGTTAGATGACTCCCCCTACTGAAGTTTTTTCCACACTCCAAACATTTATATGGTTTCTCTCCAGTGTGGATCCTTTGATGGGGAAGTAGATGACTGCTATTTCTGAATCTTTTTCCACATTCCATGCACTCATACGGTCTCTCCCCTGTTTGAGTCCTTTTGTGGGAACTAAAAGCACTGTGGTGACCATAGCACTTTCCAAACTCCAGGCATTTATATGGTTTTTCTCCTGTGTGGCTCCTTTGATGGGAAGTAAGATGATGGTTCCTAGTGAAGCTCTTTCCACACTCCATGTGGTTATATCATCTTTCTTCTACGCAGATTGCTTCATTGTGTTCATACTGTTTCTCTTTAGTCTGGGTTCTCCAGTGTTTAGGTAAATTAGATTTATTTTGGCGTATTTTGTCACATTGTGGATATTTCCCTTTTTCTTTCTGATCTGGGAAGGTCAGGCAGTCATGGATTGTAAAACATAGAGAAGTAAACGATTCTTCCCCTCCATCCTTTAAATGTCTTCTTTCTTGCCTTTTTGACTTTCCTTGATGTCCAGACATCGCTTTTTCCACTACACACTTGGTTGTCTGTAATGGCAATACTCTTCGCTCCTTGTAATTCTCATTCTCTTGCCCACTGCCTGCTTGGGGAAAAAAAAAATGAGAGCATTCCATTAGAAATTTTAAGCATAACTCAGGCTGTCACTGGGGCCATGACTACATCTGTTATTACAGCATTTTGAAGATTTTCCCTGTTCTCTCTTTGCATACTTTGAGCATACTAAACAAACTTGTTGTTTATGGTACGATTTCTCACTTGATCTGGCGAAGTGTGTATGACGTTTCTCCACAATAAATCGCTAGTATCAATTTCCATAAGAAGCAAGGGGATAGCACGGTTACATGAAAGAAAGTCCAAAATAGAGAGAATTGTAGCCCTACTGATTTATGAAAGCATAAATACAGTTTACTGTAGTAGATGCAATTTTCAGCATGCTCTATGCCTTGTTGAAATGCACCAGGCCTAAATTCATCAGGACATGATAGTCCAGTAACTAAGAAAACTACATCTGTTAACTTCTGCCTAGGCACATCATCCTCAGCCAAATCTCAACCTGAACCACAAAGAAAATGCTGAGGACATGGCTTTTGAAGTAGAAATTGCAACTTTTTAATGTACAGAATTAATATTATTCAGTGTTTGAGTACTTGTATAAGGAATAGCAATATGTTAAAATTACTAAATTTAAATAGTGATTTTTCCTAAGAAGTATTGGGATGGTACCTGAATAAAGGCACTTAAAGGCCTGACCAAAAACTACCAAAACTATAGGCATCCATGATTAAATAGAAGGTTCAGAACTGTCTCTATCTCTTTCGGTTACGGATGTATAAAAAGGATGGGTTGATACGTGTTCTCCTCCCCTAAGTAATGAAAAGCTACCGGGCCAGATAACAGTTAAGTGTCTGGAAACCATCACATGTCCATACACAATTCACAGGGAGCAGTAAAGGGAGGGAAGAATGGATTGCCAGTTAAAAATGTTATATTCCAGGCTTTCTGTGGGTGCTTCTGACTACAAAAGACCATCCCCACTTAAGTGAACCCAGAACAAACAGGATCCTTACCCAGAGTGGCCAGATTCCTAGAAACCTCCAGCATGACTGCCTTGTACAAGGCTCTTTGGCTGCAATCCAGCAGCACCCACTCCTCCTCACTGAAGTCCACAGCCACCTCCTCAAAGGACACCAAAACCTGAAAAAAGAAGATATTCCTCAATAGAATTTCCTGGAAAGGCTTATGAATTCTCTCTCTCTAAAAGGAGAGCTTTGCAATGATGTGAATGGGCCTTTTCTTACAGGAAAGATTTACTGAGGTTTGTCTCTGGAAGTCCAGAGAGTCATTACAGCTGGGAGGCCTCTGGTCCTCTAAGATAGCATGGCTTGGTTGCATCCAGGCTGGAGAAGTGGGCCAAGTTGCTCCCATTGGAGAGTTTTCCGCTGATCCAAAATGATGAAGCAAGGGTGTTCAGAGGACCTGTGTCTCCTGCTCCCACCTGCCTGCCTGAGTAAATTACATAGACCTTACACAACAGCATACAAATAGTAAGAATTTACTTCCTGGAATCATTCAAAGTGTTGGAGATGAGCAAGTCCTAAGCGATTCAACTGACATCTTTATATTTCTTGGATGGGGAGAAAACAGAGAAATTATTTCCTCCCCTCTCAAGATCTTTTTTCCCTAGTGGGCATAATCACCACAGAAGGCAATAGTATGTAGGATCACAACTGCAAAGAGGTTATGTAAATTAGTAATGAAAGGAGCTATCAAAAGCTGTCCTGTATCTCTTTGATTCCGGTAAAGATTCCTAATGTGGAAAAGATAACGAGAAATAGACGACAAAAAACAACAAATAGACATGAAAGACAACAAAATTGAGATTACTAAAATGGGAATATTAAAGACAAATCAAGAAAAGGATCTGGACATGGAACAGCTGCAACAAGAAATCCTGGATAATGAGGCTCAGGAACAGAAGGAATCCAGTCTCCACTGCTTTCAGAAGAAAACTTCGCTTACACGGAGAGGTGACTCCAGCTGGATCTGCCTGGGAGTTCTTCCTCAAAGAGCAGCTTCTCAGAGAAACTATGCTCCGGTGCAGCTTCAAAGGGGGCAAAGATCTCCTAGCTCCGCAAAGAGGCTTTCCTTCAAAAAGTGGACAACAGTCCCCGGATCCTCCCAAAACCTGGGAAGGGGCTGGTGAGTGGGAGAATCTGGGGGCGGAAACTGCTGGCAAAGTTCTCCGGCGCATGCTCCGTTCGATTCGGAAGCCAGAGGTTGCCCGGTCTCCGGGACTCGCCTGGAACGGCGGGGCTGGAAAAGCTTCTGGGCTGAGGATGATGGGGAGGG